CCCCTCTTTCTCTGCCCACCCCGCTCTTTGCTTTCGAATGGTTCAAAAGTGTGGTATCTTGGTGTAAACAAGATTTACAGTCCTTTGTAGTGTGATATCCTTGCCGTTAGTGTATGCTTCCCCATCATCTTTGATTCTTTTCCTTCCCCTATGTGTGTCAGTCTACATGAGGGATGTAAACGTGGGAGCTTAGTCATGGGATAGAGTTTCCATAAGTATAACCTGGTAGAGCATTCTTTAGGGATCTAATTTCCATTGGATCTGGTACAGCAGAGAGTCCTTAACTATGGGATTTAACTGCAGATGAATAGAAAGACTGTAGAAGATACAACATCAAGAGTGACTCCAGATTCCAACAGTGAAAAACTGGTCTAGGACTGACAGAGTTAATGAACATGGTTGTTGCAGCTTAAACTTTATGTCACCAGCGGAAGAATACTAAGGTCATTGCTATGGTTGGTGCATAGACAGAAAGTTCACTGTGGTGTCAGGTTTCCTGATTGCAGAGGGTTATGGACTCTGCTATTCTTAGTTAGGGAAAGTAAAAACGAATGACCTTTGGAAAGACTGCCACAGTACTCTTTGAAAAAGGTAGTAGGAATCTATCCTTAAGTCACTTGTGGCCCCACTGCTCTGAGACAGGGATGGGCACCTTTGCAAAGGTAATAAACTTCATGGCAGTGGGAAGCTATGTGGAGGCTGACGTGAGAACCCTGCCACAGAGAGGTGTTCCCTTTTGGTGGTGATTGCCTAGCCCTCCTATCTCCTAACAAGTTGAAAGAAATGCATGCATGTGGAGAAGAAAGGAGTTAGAGAGAGTGGACATGGAAGGTAACAAAATAACATAACCCTAAGATATACTGAGGACTTAACTCATACCAGGCACTATTTTGGGTACAGGAAGTCTCAGAACTATTTATGGATAGTTAGCATAGTGAGATGAGGAAACAGGCAGAAAACATTAACTACATTAGTTAAAATGGCAGTAAGTAGGAGAGGCAACTCTTGAACCTAGATCCCCCAGAGCTGCACTGAAGCCACTGTCAGGCATGCCCAGCATTCTGAGATAGCAGAACTCATGAGGCAGAGAGGAAGAATTGTAGAGTGTCCCTGTTAACAACAGAAGTGGGAGGAGCACAGAAGAAAGCAGTTGTATTATAACCTTCCCAATAGAAGGGACGATCGCCCAGAGCGATCTCTGTGCCCCTCCCTTTTGATCAGACTGTTAAAGCAATGGTCCCCAAAGAACTGGAGTTTCTTCGGGAGTTTCATTCTGGGAGAAGGAAAAGGCTGAAGCCTGGTGCCAGCCTGACTCCTGGAAAGAGATTTCACACAGTTCTAATAACTTGTCAGACCACCTGACAGGAGAGAATGTAGTCAGGACAATGATGGGTCACTGATGGGCAGACCCATACCTTGACTAGAACTGCTTGTCACTGACAGGTCTACACCTTGACTGGAACTGGGTCACTGATGGACAGGCTCACACCTTTACTAGAACTGCTCAGTTACACATACACATGTCTCGCCTTCTACTTCAACCTAAACTTCGTGACAAGACCCCAATAAGACTGGGGGAGTGCGGGACACTGAGATTCTTGTTCCACTCCCCAGTGGCAGCCTTATGTGAATCTCCTTTCTCTTCTTTTCACTATTCATTTTCTCTTTAATTGACTTATGGGGATAGGTGACTGAGCCTAGCTTGTTAAGGTTGTCAGGGTGCAGTCTTTGACCCTAAAAACTCTGGTAATATTATTACCAAAATGGTGGTACTCAACATCCACCGAGATGGGTTTGCCTACCTGGAAGGCAGCCAACACTAGGGACCGTGTCATATCTTCAAGGGCCTTTCACATAAGTCCCCAGTAGCAATTAAGATTTCTGAGATACCTTGGGGACGTTGTGGTGGTTAATTTTGATTGTCAGCTTGATTAAATCAGATCAAGAAGCACCTAGGAGATTGGTGAAATGAGAATTAATTAGATCACGATATGCTGACCTAATCAATAGAGGTGGTGACAGGTGTGTGTACACGGGGCTCAGTGAAGAAAAGGAGCCATTGGGGTGGTAGGGAAGGCTATCCTTGGGGCTATATCTCCCTAGCCGTTCCTGGACTTGCCCCCTTTTCTCGGCTTCCTGTAGGCGACAAGGAAGCTCCTGTACCACAGGATCCTATTGCCTGATGTTCTGCCTCATGCTAAGTCCAAGAACATGGAGCCAAGTGAACATGAACTGAATGTACAGAGACCATGAGCCAAAATAAACCTTTCCTCTTCAAGTTGTTTTTGTCTGGCATTCTGTCCAAGTAACAAGAAGAGCAAGAGCAACTACTTCAGGCATGCTGGGAGTTCAGGGAGAACTTTTATTTGTCTTCCCCAAATCTCAGATCCTCAAATATGTGAATCTCAAAATGACACAACCAGAAACGTGTATTTTACTTACAAGTCATTGTATTTTTCATTATGATAACATGGATTGTGTTTCCTATGAAGACGAGATGTGGAGCAGGAAGTCTGTGAATATTATATTTAAACTCACCAGATGTTGACAATTTAAGTTCTAGCAGTATATGTCTAGAGTTTTCTCTTGTGCTGGAAAGGTCTCTTAACCTTCAAATTAGATAAACAGTTTTGTTCAGATAATGATGTGGTTGGTTTTCTGAACAATGCTAATGGGTTTTTGCAACTCAGGAGGAGAATATGAGCACCCAGACATCTGGGTAATTTTGGATCAAAATTTATGTATGTAGCAGGGTTGCCAGGCTGTTTTTTTCAAAATCTCCATGATGGAAGAGGAGGAACTCATTTTTAGAATTTACAAGAAGTCTTGCCCTTGGGAGCAACAGAAACTCCTCTGCCACCAAGGTCCTTTTAGTTATATAATTATGAAGGAAGTGTATATCTCTTTTCTTGAGGAAAATATGAGGGAGTTGAATGCAGATGTTAATGGAAACATAGCATTTTAGAATACAAATAGATTCATGGTTAAAGTGTATCATTTCTCCACAGGATTTATTACTTTTCTGGAGGTAATCTTGCCTGGTTCTCAATATGGACTTGAATAACTCCTTGTGTACAAATTACTGCTTGTTCTTGAACGAACCCTGAAGGATGGTTTCTGTTTGTGTTTAGGCAGCTACTCAGGCTAATTAGGAATAGAGATCCTGACCAGCAGGAATTAGAAATGTAGGTCTGATTCCTCAATCATCTCTGGCTGGAGCAGACTGTAAAAATCAACGGGTTAAGTTTATCCAGCAGAGTCTTGATCAGGTTGTTGATGCCATGACTTGTATTATTTGGAACTGAATGTACAATGTGCTGGGAATGTGCCACTAGTGGATTAATGTGTACTTGTCTTTTAGGAGTCATGAAAAAAACAGATCCTTTATTATAGGGTTTGGACTTTACTTCAAGTGATGATTCTCGATTGCCTTTTTTTTTTTTTTTTTCCAGGAAGACAAATGTACCTTAAGAGAAGAATTAAGAACTTGGAGGATGTACTAGTTTCATTCTGTTGCTGTGATAAAACACAGTGACACAAAGTAATTTGAGGGAGGAAAGGGTTTATTTCATTTTATACTTGTTGGTCATAGTCTATCATTGAGGAAAGGCAGGGCAGGAGCTCCTAGCAAGAACCTGGAGGCAGAAACTATTGAGGAACGCTGCTTGCTGGCTTGCTCCCTCACAGGCTCATGCTTAGCTAGCTTTCCTACACAGCCCAGGACCACCTGTCTAGGGATGCTGCTGCCCACAGTGGACTGGACCCTCCAACATCAATTTATAAGACAATGGCCTACAGACATGCCCACAGGCCAATCTGAACAAGTAAATTCCTCAATGGAGGCTTTCCTCCCAGATGACTGACTCTAGCCTTGGTCAAGCTGTCAGTTAAAGGCTGGATCAAACTGTCAGTTAAAGTTTTGGAAGTGGGCAGTCTTCTCATTGAGACCCTAAGAGTCAGTTTGGTTTAGAGTTCAAGGTTAGGAGAGTCTTGAATTATTTTTGAAGGATAAGTTATCTCTATGGAGATGGTAGTTAAAGCCCAGCTTTGGCTCTGAGCCTCCAAGTGTTGTAATATTTAATAGAGCTTTGGAATTATTTTTTGCTTTATAATTTCTTCCTGTTACCTTTGAACAGAACCTCTTATCTCCCCCAGCCCTACCACCAAGTTAATGGACAATG